TCCCCCGGGCAGGGAAAGACGAGAGCCCGGCTCAGCTCGTGGCCTGCGGGAGGCGAAGAGCGGCCCACTACTCTCACTCCCCCCTACCCGCCTGCCCACGCGGGCTCCTCACCGGGCTCCGTGACGGCCACCGCCCGCCGCACCGGCCCTGCCCGCCCGAACTCGCGCTCCAGGTCCGGCCCGCGGGCCGAGGCGGACAGGCCGCGCACCAGCACCGTCCGCGCCGAGCCCTTCTCCGCCGCCGTCATGGCGAACCGACTGCCGAACCTCTTCCTCCGCGGCGACTCACGCGGCCACGGGCGCCGCCATCTTGGGTCCGCCGCGCAAAGGGCTCCGGCCGGAAACGCCAGCGGCGCTCCCGGGTTCCGCCCGGCCTCGGGACTGCCAATCAAGGGCTCGGAACCCCGCCGAGCAGCCGGGGCAGTGTGCGCATGCCCAGAGGCGGCATTGGTTACCCCCCCCCCCCCCATCGCGGGTGAGCGGAGTAGAAGGTTCGAGTCCAGCGGCCCCTTGAAGACACCCCCCCCCAAAAATTTTAATTCCGGGCATGAAAAAGAGAAGAAGATATTGGATTTATACCCTGCCCTTCACTACCCCACAACAGACACCCTTTGAGGCAGGTGGCTCTCCTGAGAACTGCCCTCGAGAGAACAGCTCTGAGAAAACTTATGACTGACCCAAGGTCACACCAGCAGCTGCATGTGGAGGAGCAGAGAATCAAACCTGGTTCTCCCAGATTAGAGTCCGCTCTCCTAACCACTACACCAAACTGGAACTCAGATCATCTCGGAAACTAAGTGGGGCCGACCTTGGCAAGTACTTGGATGGGAGACCTCCAAGGAATACAAGGGCCAGGATGCAGAGGCAGGCAATAAAAAGCCACAGGGGTCGCCAGAAGTCAGCCATGACTTCCACGGGCAGACACACACACACACAAGTTTTAAAAAAGGAAGCATCAAGTAAAGAAGGGGAAGTGCTCCTGGCCAGTGCAAGGGGTGGGATGGGGGTGAGGGACAGGTGAATCCAAACGTTTCTGCAGGTTTTCTAGGAAAGGCAGAGACCTTGGCCAAGCTCTAAAATGGAGTTTGAGTAACTTCGCCAAAGTCAGAGCTGCAGACACTGCCGGCTGGGCTCCCGTTCTGCTGCAAAAGCTGCTCTCCCGTTTCATTGCGCCAGGCACAACACCGAAGAAAGGGTGACTTCTGTTTCAGCATCTTCTCTGAGCCCTGGAGAAAGAAGACACTTTGCATCTCGACTTCTCTGGGATCCCATTTCCCGTTTGTCCTTGCGGCTGCTGCACCGGGACACGCCTGCCTCGTCTGACAGGGAGCTCTTTAAGGAAAGGTGCCCCCGCTGGTCCGTGTCTGCCTAGGAGGGGCTCAAAGGACAGAGCAGACCCTTGGGAGACTGCAGGTGGAGGAGATAACTCCCCCCCCCACCTTTCTGTGAGCAAAACTTCTAGACCTGCCTCCTCTGTGTTACCTTGCTTTTCTACTCGTGCTGAGGTTTTTTACAGAGAGGAGCAATCCAAAAATGTGAGCACACTCCCCCCCGCTGCATCTAGAAAGGGTGCTCTCAGTCCTCCTGCCTGTTGCCTCTCGTTCTGCAGTCTGCCTGGCAAAGCCTGTTCTGCAGAGTCCACCTTGCAAGACTGTTTTGAGGGTAAATGTGAGGTCGGGGTACACGGTGTTGGAAGTTCCAGGTGCGATGTGCCTGCCTCAGCCTCCAGTCTTTGTGGCAAGAGAGACTAGATAGCTAGACAGGCACACTGACCCTTTCTTCCTGTGTTTACTTTTTTGCCACTGTCCCCTTTGAAATGTAGATGGTGTTCTCGGGACAACTTCCTTCCTTCCTTCCTTCCTTCCTTCCTTCCTTCCTTCCTTCCTTCCTTCCTCAGATGAAGATGAACTCTCTCCCCACACACACCAAGAGGGACGACATGCGGTCCTCTCTTGGCACCGTGAGGCAGATGGTACTCTCGCCATCCGCTTCCATCCTTAGCTAGTAAGTTAGTCCTCTATCCCGTCCCTGCTCTTTCCTATCCAAAACTGTACGTCTCAAATCAAGAGAGAAGCATTTCTCTTCTAAGCTTGCAGCGTGGCTCTCTGTAGCTTTGTAAGCTGAGTAACCTGGTAAAGTGACGCTCCTGCATTTGTAGCTTTATTTAAGCACTCTGCTAACTCGTGGCGACTGGACTAACCACACCAGTTCACCCTCCTCCGTGGCAATACGTGGCAACTGCCCCAGAACTTTGGATGGGAAAGAAACCTCACAGAAGGTTTGTCTGATTCCTTCTTTGCTTCAGGCCAGAGCCTCTGGGAGAGGGGACTCCTTCCAACGGCAGTCCTTGCATCCGGAAGAGGGTGGCATCACCACATCATCCAGTTGCTAGGCAACTGCAGGACAGGCCTCCCCCCCCCCCGCTCTGTGTGTGTGCTTCTGTGGAATGGAACTGTAGCCTCCTCTGTGACTTCCAGGCCAAAAAGAAGTCCTCTGCTGCCGTTGTTCTGGGTTAGATTTCTCCTGCAGCTGTGTTATGTACGTGGACCGCCACCAGGGGTCCGCGGCTAAAGCAGGAGCTTGGTCTCAAACACAAAGGGGACCTAGGATCCTAGTCCACCGGGAGTCCACCAATAGCACCCTTGGCGGGAGATTCAAACCCTCCTATGGTGACAGAGGTGTGCCGGGTGGAGTGTATATAGTTGGCCTTGCAGGGCCGTTTTTCCTTCTCTTGTGAAGTACAATAAACGCGTCTGAATGTATGTCGTAGTCCGAGTTCTCCATGCGTCAAACTCAGTACTTTTCAAGCTGTGGTGGCTCAAGTGGTTAAGACGCTGAACTGCAGGCTGTGGAAGGTCGGTAGTTCAGCAGTTCGAGACCCGAGTGTGCCACATGACGGAGTGAGCTCCCATCTCTAGTTCCAGCTCCTGCCAACCTAGCAGTTCGAAAGCAAGACATTGCAAGTCGAGAAAGCGGTACCGCTTTGGTGGGAAGGTAACAGCGTTCCGTGCGCCTCGGTGTTTAGTCATGCCGGCCACATGACCACGGAAACGTCTTCGGACAGCGCTGGCTCTTCGGCTTTGAAACGGAGATGAGCACCGCAACCTTAGAGTCGGATTCGACTGGCTTTCGAGCAAGGGAACATTTACCTTTACTTTTTACGGCGGAGCGGACAGAAGAAGCTTCTCAGCGCCAGGCTTTCTCATTCCGGACTCCCAAGAACCTGGAAGAGTCCTGCTAGACCAGACCACTCGGGGTCCACCTAGTCCAGCGGCCTGTCTCCCGCAGGGGCCAGCCAATCATCACCATCATCATGAAGATGTTTGCCCTGCTTTTCTGCCGCCATATGGTCACCAAGGAGGCTAGCAAAGTATCTGTGTAGATAGATTCGGGTGGGCAGCCGTGTTGGGTCTGAAGCAGCAGAACCAAGTTTGAGTCATAGGATGTTAGAGTTGGAAGGGGCCTTGCAGTGGCACCGCGAAGACCAACAGAGTTTAATTCAAAGTGTAAGCTTTTGTCTGTATGCTCTTTGTGCACACGAAAGCTTGTGCCTTGAATAAAACTTCGCTGGTCTTCAAGGTGCCCCTGGTCTCAAGAATTATCTATCTGTGTGTGTTAAGGGCCCTCGAGTTGCTTCCGGGAGATACTGCCAGCCTTTCTTCTCTGCCATTGGGGTGGGGTCCAGTTTAAGCAGCAGTGTTGGCAGCATCCCAGAACTCTCTGCAGGTTGCCTGGTGCCAGATAGGGAGCCACTCGGCACCTTGTCTGAATTGGGGGAGGTGCCGTGGGCCCTCCTCTCAGTCTTTACGCTCTGCCACGACAGCTCCCCTCTTCTGAGCTGGGCCTTCTGGGGGATGCCCCCCTGCAAACGGGCAAGGTGAACAGTGGCCCGTGCACAGGCCTCCTCTGCCGAGGCTCCTGCCTGGGGAAAGATGGCTCCTGCCTGTCTTACGAGGAAAGGCTGAAAGGGTTGGGTCTGTTCAGTCTGGGAAAGAGAAGGCTTAGCGGGGACATGATTGCAGTCTTCAAGAATCTGAAGGGCTGTCATGCAGAAGATGGAGTGGATCTATTCTCTCTCTTGCTCCGGATTGCAAGACTGGATCTAATGGGTGCGAATTACAAGGGAGTGTCGATACCGGCTAAATGTCAGGAGAAACTTCCTAACTGTAGGAGTGGTTGAGGAGTGGAACATTCTGCCTCGGGAGGTGGTGGATGTTCCTTCGCTGGACGTTTTGGAGCGGAGGCTGGATGACCCTCTTCCAGGTATGTTGTAGGGCTGTCTTTCGGCTCTGCTCCCGCAGAGTGCAGGGGTGTTGGAGTTTCTTTATGAAAATTGTGATTCAGCAGACAGAAAAAAAAACAGCTTAGTAATGCCAGAGTGCAATAATCAGACTCAGAGTCCATGTGTGTTTAAAATATAAAAGTTTTTACTACATTCTAGCATAGGGAAAGCTAACTGGGAGGAAAATAACAACAGAGCTAATCCCTACATCTTCACTCTACAAAGGACGAGACTAGAAGAGCTGCAGTGGCTTCTCTTACACGCTTCTTTAGAACAGCAAACAAAGAGAGGAAGAGGAGCCATAAAATGCAAAGACACTTTGACACTTTGCTTCCAATCAAACTCCTGGAACAGGAAGAATTTTCCCGGGCTGGGGGACCTAAACTAACATTGGCTTACACAAAAGCATGTGATTTCCTGTAACAACAAAAGAGACATTTAACCCAATATATACTGAGTGTTTTTATCTTGTAACACCCAACAAGGGGGTTGGACTAGATGCCCTCCAAGGTCCCTTCCAACTCTAACCTCCTATGATTCTAAGGCCCCCAAGCTCCTATCTGCCCCCAAACTGTGTCCAATGGAGTTGTTTAGGAGAGCATTTCTAGAAAGGCAGCAGGGCTATGCTAGAACAGGAGAGTGGAGAAGGGTGCTTTGTGAAGGGGAAAGGGACTGTGGATTCCACCACTGTGCAAAGGACATCCTGTCAGAGTGCTGCACGTCTTACCCTCTATTACCCGGCCGCCTCGCTGTTTTCTACCGATGTAATTCCATTTCTCTTCATCATATCCACACTCTGTAGTGTTATGCCTAATATGATCCACCCAGCCAGATTTTGGTCCCCTGCATCTGAGGCCACTGCTCATAGAATCCTAGAAATACTCGAAGGCTGCAATCCTTCGAGGTACTTTTCTCCCTTTCTCACAATACAAGAACTCGTGGGCACTCCATGAAACTTCAGAGCGGTCGGGTTAGAACGGATAAAAGGAAGTACTTCTTCACCCAAAGAGTGATTAACACATGGAATTCACT